CCTTAAGGTGGGGCTTGAACTCCCAACACTGAGATCAAGAGTTGCCTGCTCTACCAACTGAGCCAGCCAGGGGCCCCTCACTCCTAGGTTTTGTTTTTTTTTTTAAAGATTTTATTTATTTATTTGACAGAGAGAGACACAGTGAGAGAGGAACACAAGCAGGGGGAGTGGAAGAGGGAGAGGCAGGCCTCCCGCTGAGCGGGGAGTCCGATGCGGGGCTCGATCCCAAAATGCTGGGATGTGAACCTGAGCCGAAGGCAGGGGCTTAACGACTGAGCCACCCAGGCGCCCCACTCACTCCTAGGTTTTAAAATTATTTCTTTCCTCTGAACACAGGATATGGGACCATTTTCCAGGTGAATTAGTTACCCATTTCCCTGCTACTTCCAGTCACAAGAATGTGCCTGGAGCTCTTTCTTCTCTGGCCACTTTGATTGTTTCTCCCGGTTCCTCCTCACCCTCCCTGCTGCCCTGGGGGGAAGCTGAGGTGGGTAGAGTGAGGATCTCAAGGTTAAGAACTGAGTGAACTCAACTAGGCCAACTGCTAACTAGGTCAGCTTAGGGAAGTTTGCCTAACCTCTTTCTGCCTAACCTCATTTCTGAACAATGGGACCAATAGTAATATTACTGATGCTATTTTCCATACTAATGATCTCTATAGCATAATAATAGTATGGGTATCATGTTTGTACTCGTAATTTTTTTTTAAGATTTTATTTATTTGATACAGAGAGCGAGCACAAGCAGGGGGAGCGCAGAGGGAGAGGGAGAGGGAGGCTCCCCACCGAGCAGGGAGCCCAATGCGGTACTTGATCCTAGGACCCTGGGATCCTGACCTGAGCCGAAGGCAGACACTTAACCCACTGAGCCACCCAGGCACCCTCCACTGTACTCGTAGTTTCTGAACCATAATAATAATTAATTTCCGTACTACAATAATTGTCCTGATACTAATTTCTGTACTAATAATTTCTATACTATAATATTATGATACTACTTTCATACTAATTTCTGTGCTGCAGAAATAATTTCTGCATGTAATAGTGGTACTGATACTATTTTCTTTACTAATAGTTTCTACACGTGGATAATATCTGTGCTAATAAAACAATTACAATAAAAAGCCTGCACTACCAATTTAATAATAAAAATAATTCTGTGTAATTCCTCTGCTAATAATATCTGTACTAATAATAAACTCATAAATAAGCTGATAAAATAGTTTCCTGTAAAATGAGGCTAATAATACTGTTAATCTTATAGAGTTATTGGGGTGCCTGGGTGGCTCAGTCGTTAAGCGTCTGCCTTCGGCTCAGGTCGTGATCCCAGGGTCCTGGGATCGAGCCCCACATCGGGCTCCCTGCTCAGCGGGAAGCCTGCTTCTCCCTCTCCCACCCCCCCCTGCTGTGTTCCCTCTCTCGCTGTGTCTCTCTCTGTCAAATGACTAAACAAAATCTTTAAAAAAAAAAAAATCTTATAGAGTTATTTTGAGCATTATATGAGAAAAAAACAGATAAAGCACACAGAGCATGGCATATAGCTCATGCTTAATAAACGTGAGTTATGATTATTGTTATTGCTGCTGTTGTTGTTAGGCTTCTAGTCTGTGTCTCCCCCTCCCCCCAGCCTTTGCACCAGAGGAATTTGTGAGTAAAACTTAAAACTGACTCATTCTTTTTTTTTTTAAACATTAATTCATTATTTATTTAATTTTTTAAGTAAACTCTCCTCCCAGCGTGGGGCTCGAACTCACAATCCCAAGATCAAGAGTAAGCATTAGGCACGGAGCCCGCCAGGTGCCCCCAAACTGGCTTGTTTTCAGATTTCCCTTGGTGAAGACAGCCCCTGAGCGAGATCTGACCTGTGGGAGAGCCTCACCTTGCCCTGGGGCCTCTACCTGAGCCTTTCCACCTGCGGGGATAATTTAATCCGGGTAAGAAGAGAAAGAAGTGTGAGGGGGCTGGAATGGACCACATGGTCATGAAATAGGGGCTTTGTTATCTCTCTGGGTGGGATAGGAATTTCACTCAGAGGAACAGGAGTGATGGTCAGGAGGAAAGATGGGGTTCAGCTCCCTCGTTTGTCTCTTTACCTCAGGGAGGTAACTTTAGCCTACGTCGCGGAGAAAGGTGTCTCAGCGGTCATGGAGAGGCCAGGGGCAGGAGCATCAACTCACTGTTCCCAGGTCCGGGGCCGAAGTGAGAGTTCCAAGCCTTGAATGGCCATAATGGGCGGTATTTGAGGGCAGGAGTGAAAAGGAGTTGACCCTTTTGCTATTGTCTTCCTCACTTCCCGTTTCAGGGAGGACCTTCCTCACTGGATAGGAGTAGGCTGATGGGGCTTTAGGTTGGCCCTTTGGATTACATTTTTTCAATTAGATTTGTAGGGCTTTATTTTGTTCTCTGTATTTTTTTTTTTTTAAAGATTTTTTATTTATTTATTTGAGACAGAGAGAATGAGAGACAGAGAGCATGAGAGGGAAGAGGGTCAGAGGGAGAAGCAGACTCCCTGCCGAGCAGGGAGCCCGATGCGGGACTCGATCCCGGGACTCCAGGATCATGACCTGAGCCGAAGGCAGTCGCTTAACCAACTGAGCCACCCAGGCGCCCTGTTCTCTGTATTTTTCTTAAAATGGAACCATTCCAATAAGTCACAGGATGAAAATTAATTAATTAATTAATTAATTAATTAAAGTCCTTCTGGGAAGCCTGACTGGCACAGTTGGTTAAGCAGCTGACTCTTGATTTCAGCTCACGTCATGATCTCAGGGTCTTGGGATGGAGCCCTGCAACGGGCTCTGGGCTCAGTGGGAGTCTGCTTGAGGATTCTTTCTCTCCCTCTACCCCCGCCCCCTGCTCATTCTCATGCTCGCTCGCTCTCTCTCTCAAATAAATAAATAAACCTAAAAAAAAAAAGAAAAGAAAAATGGAGTCCTTCCTGCAACTATTTGGACTAGAAGCCCATGAATTAAGATGAAATATTTCACGTTTTAAGAAGTAAAAGAACAGAAAAATCCCTGACCTTGATTCTTCACTTCCAGACTGGCCATGCCCAGGTCTGTGTCCTCAGAAGCCGGGAATAGTGAACTCACAAACAAACAAATTTCCCTCCAGGCCTCTTGCAGAAGTGGAGGTATAACTTCAGTCTTCTGTTCTCCAGAACCTGGGAACTGAATGTTGAGGACTGAGCTAAAGTCTTCACAAAACAAAATGCAACTTTTCACAAGAGAAAAGATAATGCAGGATGCTTTCATTTATAGAGGCAGAAAATAGATCAGCAGTTGCCTAGGACTGAGGGTAGGAGTGGGGATTAACTGCAAATGGGCATGAGGAAACATTTTGGGGTAGTGGAAAGGTTCTAAAACTGGATTGTGGTGATAGTTGCCCAACTCTACAAGTGTACTAAAATCACTGCATTACCTACTTAGCGTCAGCGGGTTTTACCGTATGTAAATTATGCCTCAATAAGGCTGTTTTTGAAAAAAAAAAAAAAGGTAGTGTGGGTGATTGGTTTAAATTGGTGTGCCAGGGGCACCTGGGTGGCTCAGTTGTTAAGCATCTGCCTTCTGCTCAGGTCAAGATCCCAGGGTCCTGGGATCCAGCCCCGCATTGGGCTCCCTGCTCTGTGGGAAGCCTGCTTCTCCCTCCCATTCCCCCTGCTTGTGTTCCCTCTCTCCCTGTGTCTCTGTCAAATAAATAAAATCTTTTTAAAAAAATAAAAAAAATAAACTGGTGTGCCAAACAACATAGTGGTTAGTACCTACATTATAGCCCTGACCACTTGCAAACGATGTGAATTGGAGAAATTCACTTCGCATTCCTCACCCCCTTTATCAAGTGGGAGATGATAACGCATATCTCTAAAGCAGAATGCCAGTTCAATGAGATAACTGGTACAAAGCCATGCTTCTTCAGGTACTATACTTTATCCTCGAGCTAGGAATGTGGGGATGCCCTGCAGGGAGATGTGAGTGTTGATCATTCTTGACTTGGAAAGTTCATTCTCAATTTTTCAGTGAAGATGAACATGCTGTAGCATTGTTTCCCACCTCTCAGGCTCACGAATATCCCTGTGTCCAGTGGTTCCACAGTTCTACCCTCCCTTTCCAGGGGTCTCTGGACATTGACTTTTACCTCCCCATGGGTCAAGTTTGTGAGAATCTAAGGAGTGAAATTTGTTACCAAGCACATGAGAAGAGCAGATGGCTGCAGGTGCTCCAGGGGCCCCTTGGTGACTATCCCAGGCTGGCTGCCCTAGGAGATGCTCTAAGGTAGATATGATCTGGGTAACTAGATGTGTACACAGGTTTCTGTCTCCTGAGAGATGTCCAGATGAGCCCAGAAAAGTAAAGTCCGACTATGGGAGCAAAATCGGATAACTGGAATTTCCTCTGGAAAGAGGTCATGTGGGAGGAAGGGGCTGGTCCCAAGACCCCTTGAGAGGGCTTCTTCTCTCCTTGTGTGTGGAAGACACTTTATTCTGAACTTTTTAGAAACCAGGGATGGACAGAATGAAGTAGCAGTCATCCTAGGAGGAAAGAGGCATACAGTTGCATACTTCACACCCTCACAAACGCCATTTCCACCCTGTCCTTGGCAGGCTGACCTACGCATTCATTCATCCAACATACATCTATGGAACTCCTGCCATATTGCAAGGCTGTTCTAGACAAGCTCTTTGCCCTCAGAGAGCTTATATTCTAGTGGGAGACACAGACAATGAGCAAGGAAGGAAATGAATCTATCTCTAAATTAATGAGGGCAGGGTATGCAGGAGGCAGGGTGGCTCATTTAGATTGGGTGGTCAGGGAAGACCTCTCTGAGGAAGTGACAATTTTGCAAAGTCTTGAGGGATCAAAAGAAGCAAAGGTCTAGGGGTGCCTGGGTGGCTCAGTCGTTAAGCGTCTGCCTTCGGCTCAGGTCATGATCCCGAGATCCTGGGATCGAGCCCGCATCTGGCTCCCTGCTCAGCCGGGAGCCTGCTTCTCCCTCTCCCACTCCCCCGGGTTGTGTTCCCCTCTCTCGCTGTGTCTCTCTCTGTCAAATAAATAAAATCTTTAAAAAAAAAAAAAAGAAGCAGAGGTCTAGAAGAGGGCATTCCTGGCAGAGGGAAGAGAATGTGCAAAGGCCCTGTGCTAGGTGTGAGATCTGCGTGTTCAAGGAGCAGAAAGAAACCAGTGTAGCTGGAGCACTGACTAAAATTCCTTTGTTACATTTGACATCACAGACCTTAAAGACAAAACTGGAGGCCAGAGACCTGCCAGAGGAACATGGGGCCCTGATACCTGGACCCACCCCTGAGAATAGTGCTCCATTGGCCCACGAGACCCAGCACAGAAGCCTTCGTTGTGTGGCTAGAATTAGGGGTGGAGACGTGTCTTTCTTTTTTTTTTAAAAGATTTTATTTATTTATTTGACAGAGAGAGACACAGCGAGAGAGGGAACACAGGCAGGGGGAGTGGGAGAGGGAGAAGCAGGCTTCCCGCTGTGCAGGCAGCCCGATGCGGGGCTGGATCCCAGGACCCTGGGATCATGACCTGAGCCAAAGGCAGACGCTTAACGACTGAGCCACCCAGGCGCCCCAGAGATGTGTCTTTCTTAAAAGCAGCAGACTTCATTAGGTTTTTGAGGTCCATCTCTGTCTTTCAAATATTCAATTCCCACTAGTGCCTCCCAAGTATTTCCATTTTTCATTATGGATACAAATCACGACATAAGAAACTCCTTAAGGAAAAAGGAAATGAGGAGCAATATTCCCCGATTTTAGGGTTTCATAATAAAAGGAACCGGATACTTTATCACATTATACTTGACCAGTAGCACAGAGCACAGTAATGAGTCCTGCTCTCCTTGTCCTGAGAGTATGCTTGTGCTTCTGGTTCTCTACAGAGCACGGGGAACCTGTGGACCCCATGGGTGACCCAGCCAGGGAGACGTTAATCAGCGACCGTGAATTTGCAAGGCAGCATGTGCACTAAAGGAAAGAACCACGGGAAACGTGTGCGAGGAGGATTCCTAGCCCGCTGAGAGTCTCCGAACAACCTCCCCCGGACAGCGGTGGGAGCTGAGAGCAGAAAGATGACCAGCACTCACGGGGAGAAGCGAGGAGCATTGCAGCCTACAGGAGAGCCCTGGGTCAAGGGAGTGCAGAGTGTTGGCAGAGCTGAAAGTTGACCAGAGTGGCTGGATTGGAGGCAGAATGACGCCTGATGAAGCAGAAGCATGGACCTAACAGCTCAGCACTGTACTGGCACAGAAAGAAAGTCCCTATGGGGTTGTAAGTGCTGAGGGAGGGGGATCACAATCATCTGGTGCTGGGAAAAGAGGCTGTGGCATGATCAGACCAGTGGAGGGGTCTGAGTGGGTGCAAGGCAGCTGGACTGACAACCACTGCCTTGAGACAGGAGAGACAGTAGTAGCTTGGGGACCGTGGAGATGGCACAGAGGAGGCAGATGTGAGAGCTACCGAGGAGGTACAATCACTAGAGGTATGAGGGGTACCTTACGAGGGAGTGGGAGATGCTCAGCTAGCCCTTGGTCTTCTCATTCGAGCATTGGGATGGGTGGTGGTGCATTCAGGAGACAGGGAACACTGGAAGAGGAATGCATTGTAGGTAAGAGCATGAGTCAGTCTTGGCCAAGTTGACTTGGAGGTGCCTTTGCATCTCCAGGTGACCCCCAGTCTCCCAGTTCACAGATTCCCACCTATAAAGGTCGCCATAGTAATGGAAAGAGGGTATCTCCCAGGTACAGGGGGGAGATGGTGATGCTCTCCCTCCACCCCCTACCCACCCTGGACCCTCTCCGAAAAGTCCACTGCAGATGCTTTGTTTTTCCTTCTGGTTGAAAACAAAACAAAACAAAATGTCCATTCTCCTATTCTAAGAAAAAAGTAGGGGGCCTTCTTAAAAAGGATATGGCTGTTCTACCTGTTCTTCCCATTCCTGGAGGGAATGGCCACTCACTTTAAACTTGGAGAATCGGATAAAACAAGAGACAAGGGAGAAAGAGCGCCAGGCCCCCGAGAACATCACTGGACATTGAGAACTGGCCTGAGCCCTGTATAGGGAGGGAATCCTCCTGCCCCCACTCTATAATTCAGCCAGACGGGCACCTGTCAATTCCTCCAACATGTCTTGCTTCCTCTCCCTTATGGCCTCACATGTGCTGCCCCCTCCCTTGAAGCACTCTTTCCTTCCTCCTCTCCTACACCCCTTTCATCCGGACAGGTTCCTAATATTTCACTCTGAGCTCAGACATCACTTCCTTCAGGAGGCCTTCTCTGATGTTCTTGGCTGGGTTCAGTGTCTGTGGCAGGCACCCAACACCCATTCTCTCCTTTCTTTCTTGGTACCAGAACCCCTAATTTTTAGCTGAGCTTATGGTGCTTGCAACAAAGACTACATATCCCAGCATCTTTTACAGTTAGGCATGGCTGTCTGGCTAAGGTCTGGCCGTGATATGAAAATGGAAATGTTTGCAACTTCTGTGATGTGCTCTTCTGAGGGGAGGACATACCTTTCTTCTCCTTCCTCCATTTCAATATGACGGCTGACTCTCTAGCCACCAACTTGAACCATGAAGACACAGGCCAACCTTGGGGATGGTAGAGCCTTGAACCGGAAAGAGATTCCTAATGACCTCATGGAGCTACTATACATTCTGCACTGCCCACGTCCTCCTTCTGTTTATGTAAGAGAGAAATACACCTCCATCCTGTGCAAGGTACTGGTATGCTGGGGTTTGGGTCTCACACAGCCAAATCGAATCCCAATTTATCCAGTGTTCTTCCCCCGTGTTTATTCCTATGAAAACGCAGCCTGCATTATCATTGTAGTTACTTATCTGAGTGAAACAAAATCTGTCCTGCCAGGGTTTATACTTTTCTTAAGCGGAGGGCTCCAAAGTTGCCCCCACCAATCACCCACACAACTACCAGTGTAACTGGAAAGCTGGCCCGCTACCCAAAGGTGATGCTGTGGAACCACTCCAAACACAACCTTACAGTCTCAGGGTTTCGAGCCTCTAGGTGATGCCATGGTTAAGGCTGTGTCCACTTCTCCTCTAGCACAATTTCCCTCTCTCACACACACAAATAAGACCACCAGTAAACCCACCGAAAACCACAAGGCAAAAAAAAGAAAAGCACATGCAAAAATATCTTATAACT